TTCCAAGGGCCTAAGAGTTCAGAGGACTAAAGAATCTTAGAGAAAAATAAGACAACAGGATGTGAAGCTCATACCAATTGGATAAAGTATTTAGACTCTATACAAGCCAAAGGAAAAGCACGTTTGCCTGTAGAGGCTCACTGGGGCCCTGTAGGGGCTGAAAGTAAGACCTGCTCAGCTCTTCTGGAGAGTGGTGGTGGATACAAAATATGTTCTGTCCTGTCCTGCCTGCTGTCCTTACCTGTGTCCTTGGGGGAAATAGTGACAATGGTGTCCAGCTGTGCTGCCTCTCCATGGTGCTAGAGAGGACTGGATACAAGCCAGGAGAGGAAAAACAATGTCACACTGAATGGGACCTATGGCTGGGGAGTGCTGGGCAGAGCCTGGGCTCTTGCAGACTTGGGAGCTCTAGGCTGGTTGCCACCTGCCATTCCTAACTTAGACTAAATATCTAGCCCTGCGGGTAAGTGAGAAATTCTCGGCCTCAGCTGGCCCAGGCCTCTCTGGCTTCAAACAGCCTTCCTTCGTGGAACCCAGGCTGCTGTCTACCCTTGGCCTGTTCCTCACTCCAGGGGTTCAAGCTGATTGGCAGACTTATCCAACCATGGAGGGTAGGGGCACTGGCCTTGGGAAACAGCCAGGAAGAGGGAAGGAGGGAGGGAGAGAGGCAGAGAGCAAAGACAGACATGGGGTTAGAGAATGTCTGAGAATGAGAGACAGTAAGACAGGCAATGACATGAAGACAAAGAGATAGAAGGAGAGAGGGAGAGAAAGACAGAGGCAACGCAGGGAGACCAGACATATCCTGTAAGAATGCAAGAGAAGGAATGCTTCTCTCTGAGAGGCAGGGTGAGGGTAAGGAGAGGGCAACAGGCAGCTGAGTGGACTGGGCTCTTAGCTGGGCTCCCACGGTGTCCCGGCACAGCCTTGCCCATCAGCTTTCTGCAGCAGAAGGCATATGTTCTCCAAGGTGGGCCCTCGGCACTGGAGCAGGGCCTTTAAACATCCCCACATGTGCTGCCCATCTGCATCTTCGTTTGGTGGATTTGCATCCCCAGGCTTTCCTGCCAGAATCATAATCCACTGAAAACAACGTGGCTTTTCATTGTAGCTGCAAACCTTTGCAGTCATCCACAGCTCTCTTGACCAGAGAGGTTGCCTGAGGCCCCACGGGGCTCCCACAGTACCAGTGTGGAACTGGGGAAGGGAGCCAGTGGCAGAGAAAGAAGAAAGGAGAGGAGGGGAGAGGAAGAGTGTGTGTTTTCTGGGGGAAGACAGATATACTGTGGCCCTAACCTGCAGAGGACTTGGAGTCCTTGCTAAACGGGTTTGGGAAGCACTCCAGGTTCACCCGACTTTCCAGGTCCCACCCCAGAGGCTACATCTGGTGCACAGGTGACACAGCTACTTTGTCCTTCCTGGACCTGGGAAGTGGGTTACCAAAGCAGAACCCACACCTGCCAAGACTGGTTACCACAAAGCAAGATGCACAATGTCCATGACAAATGACATTTATGTCAAAAAATTTTTTTAAGTTTCAAAAAGCTAATAGATAATCTATAAGAGAACCTAGGGCCAACCTCATTTTTTAAAAATGGAAACACAAGGCTGAGAAACCTGGGATGTTTGTCTCCTCTCTACCATTCTGCATGGTAGCTGCCCCATCCCCCACCTGTCTCCTTTCTCTGCTCTTCCCCTCTCTGGGCCTTTTGACCTTTCAACCACTCCAACCTCAGTTCTCCTTTTGCCTGTCCTCTTCAGTCTGCTCATTTATCCACTCTCTCATTTCATTATTCATTCAGTAACTTATTTACTAACCACTCATTTCTTTATCAGACATCATGCTAGCCTCATAATCTGAAGAGGTAAGTCATACAATGAGAACCATTAGAGAATAAGAGATGTCCTAAGTAAATGTGGAACTAAGGTGGTTTAGACACTATGTTCCCTAAAGAAGAAGTGTCTATGTTCCCAAGGGAAGAGAGATTTGGTTTTCCTGGTCTGCCCTTAGGAGGTGGGAGGGCTAAGGCTGCCTAAGCCTGGAGTTACAGGACAACACCAGAGACAGGATTAGGCAACTCAAGGGAGACTTTCTAGGGTGGGAGCCTCTGTGCATTTCTGGAGGTTGGGGTGACATCTTCCCCCTTTCCATCTGAATCCAGGCCCCTCAGTCCTCTGAAGAAGAGGAGCTAGGGTCCCAAGAGGCTGAGCTGAGGCCTGAGAATTCAGGCAGACTTACCTGGGAGGAAGTGGCTTAGGCAGTAGAGTTTGGGAGGAGAGCACCGTGAGCAGGAGAGGCTCTGGCCCTGACTCTCCTTGGGCAGTGGTTTCCTGAGGAGGAAGTCCGGAATGGGGAAGCTGGAGGTGGGAAGTGTGTGTGTGGGGGGGGGTACGCTTGAGGGCAAGGCATGAAACTAAGAAGAATAACAGGGTTCAGGTGTCCTGCACATGTGGCAGATTTCCAAAGAGTTGAAGTAAGCTGAGGGCTCTTTCGGTAATTAAGTAGCAAAAGGGATTTTGGGGGGCTTATATAGCCGAAAAGTCCAGCATAGGATGGAGTTCAGGTCCATTCTTGATTCAGGGCTTGGACAAGGTCATTAACACTCTTCCCTTTACTCTTGGCTTCACCTTTGTGGTGTCCAGGATTCCTACACTCTCCACACAGCTCTCAGCTCACATGGTTCTTATTCTGGAAGTCTCACTCATGCTGATTGGCTCAAGTCTCACTGGTATTGACTGGGTTGTGTATCTTTACCTGAACCAATCACTGTGTGGTCAGGGAACAAAGCCTGTATCACATGAAAGTTGTGGGTAGTTCTCCAGAGGCTAATGAGGGAAGTTGAATGGTCTTGCTGGATGACAGAAATGTTGCCATTCCCATCCTCCATTATCTTAGAAAGCATTGCAGTCCTTTGTAGGGTTAGACTATTTTTATTTCAAGAGGATAATACATTTTATGAAAGCAATTCACTGCTGAGATCCCAGGACTCACAACAATGCATGTTACCATGTAGAAGTAGATGCTCATTAAGTCATTTACTGAATGAATTTAATAGAATTGGCTAATTGCTGGAAATCCCAGGCTCAAGGCCAACAATTGTTGAATATTAACATGTATCTATGGATTATTCTAAGAAATTCACACATTTAAAGCTCAGTCATTATACAATTCCATGGCAATTATTATTATTTTTTTTTTTGGTACCGGGGATCGAACTCTGGTCCTTGTGCTTGCACAGCAGGCGGCAGAACCACTGAGCTAAATACCTGGCCCCATGGCAAGTACTTTTATCCCTCACTTTTTTTTTTTTTTTTTTTTTGTACTGGGGATCGAACTCGGCACCTTGCGCTTGCGAGGCAGGTGCCGGAACCACTGAGCTAAATCCCCAGCCCTTATCACTCACATTTTACTGATGGGCAACTGAAGTCATAAGAAGGTTACATAGTATATAGTTGAAGGATTCAAACCAAGGCATCTGGCTCCAACACATGTTCCCTTTCTTTGTTTTGCTTTTTTGAAACAGAGTCTTCTTGTTTCCGAGGCTGATTTTGAACTCCTGATTTGAACTTCAAATTGATCCCCTTACCTCAGCCTTCCAAAGGCTAGGATTATAGATCACTCCACCATTCCCAGCTGTGTGCAAGTACTCTCTGCTTGGCAGGTGTGGAAAGGCCATGAGTGGGACTTTCAAGGTGAGCCAACTTTCTAGCCTTCAGTTTCTACAGATACACATTGCTTTGTCTTCAGGTTAAAAGTTTCTGTAGCCTTCCTTTCTTGATGCTCCTAGCGTCCTAACTTCTAACTCCTAGCTCCTAGGTGAATGATTCTAGGGAGCATCTAAACTTCTGTTCTTCCTCTCAGTGGTTGTGTTAGTTTTTTTGGTGCTGCACCCAAATATCTGACATACATAACTTAAAGGAAGAAAGATTTATTTCGATTCACAGTTTCAGAGGTTTTAGTCTATGGTCAGCTGCATGAAGGAAAGAAAGCTGCTCATCTCATGACAACCTGGAATCAGAGAGAGCAGGAAGAAAATCAGAGAAGAGGGGACTGGGGACAAGATATACCATTCAAAGGCACGCCCCCAGGGACCTACTTCCTCCAACTGGGCCCCATCTCCTAATAGTGCACTCACCAATCGATTAATCCACTGATAATGTTAGCATCCTCATGATCCAATCACCTCTCTAAGCCTCAGTTTTGAACACTGCTGTGTGCAGTATCCAGTCCTCAACACATGAGTCCTTGGGGGACACTTCATATTAAACCCTAAAATTGGGGACTCATGGAAAGCTGAGTTTACATATATACATATGTGGCATACTCTTTTATTCTACTGCTCATTCATTCAAACTTTACTGAGTGAGATGAGTCCAGAGCCTTTTGTGGTACCTGGGAATAAGGAAGTTCTTAGAAAAGGATGAGGCATGTAGGAAAGACATAATAGCTAACTTACAGGAGCTCCTACTAGCTGAAAAAATTTAAGCATCAAAATAAAATAGTGATGGGCTGGGGATTTAGCTCAGTGGCTCTGCCACCTGCCTTACAAGCTCAAGGACCTGAGTTTGATCCCAGGTACCAAAAAAATAAATAAATAAAAATAAAATAAAATAGTGATAATACTGGATGATTGCCCAGTATGAGTCCCTACTTAAATAAATTAAAATTTATTATTTTATTTTTCTTTAAAAAAATTTTTTCTTTTCTTAAAATTTAAAATGAGGGAGAAGCAATACTTCTCCTTTACAGAGTTCAAATTAATAAAGGTAGAAGGAATGAGGAAAACACAAAATCACTATCAGGTAAACAGCAGCACAAATGGTTGTAGGCAACAATCAGTGGGAGAAAGTTTGAAGAATCAGAATATTTACATAGAACCAAAATATCTCCGCTAAGATATTTATTCATTAAAGAAGGAAGGATAGTGACAACAATAATGGGTGATTGGGGTGTTTTGAGCCAGAGATGATAGAAATAAGACTGGGCCAAATACTGCAAATTCACACACTCCTGCACAGGCAAAACTTTATTAGGGGTGGGAGGAGTTTCAGCCAAATTGGGGCTTCAGCTGAAGGGAGTCAGAAACTGGTTGAGAGAATTACCAAGCTGCTGCTCAGAAAACAAAGAGAGCAGTAAGTTTGTATTATTTGGTGGGGTGAGTGAAGTCCAGTAATTCCCATTGGCTAGGGACACATTTCCAAAAGATCTTTCTTCTTGTGATAGAATTGTACCACGGGGTGGTTATGTCAGCTTGTCTTAGAGCCTGTTAAATTTTCCTGTATCTGGCACTGTCATCTTGCATAAACCATCCTGGCCTTGTGGATCTGGGTCCTATGATAGGACATCAGGTGCTTGGACTTTTGTGGCTTCTAAAGAAGCACAAGTGTGGGGACAGAAAAGAGGGGAGACAGAAAGAAAAAGAAAACAAATTATCAACTCCCATAGGCAGTAGGCCAGGTTAAAGCTGTATTGTAGTCTTGGACTAAACATTTTTAAATGTTCAACATGACTGTGTGCAGAGCTGGGTAGAATCTGACCCAAGGGTTAAGACAGCAAAGGGGAAAGTATGAAGACAGAGATGCCCAGCCCTTTTAGCCCATCTTAATCACTCACCAGACTTCTGTAGGCTCAAGTGAAGGGTTGATGTTTTTAGCAAAACTTACCTTCAGGTTCCCAAGAAGTAACCCAGACAACTATTACCATGACCCATGCATTCTAGGTATTATCTAAAGCAAAGCTAGTGAGAAACTACTAATGTATTTCCCAGCTGGGTGACCCCAAGAAGTAATTTTTAAGTTGTCTAAGAGGAAGTGAGGCTAAAGGGCTTGTTTAGGCTTTTTTCCTTGGTAACCATTTCTCATTTCACACAAACATTTTGCTTTTGTGGTTTTATCAGGATCTCATAATGAGCCTATTGAAATATGCCATGCTACAAAGGGTAATAATTTATTGCACCCAGGGGTTTATTTTGTACTCCCATCCCACCTTCTGTTCCATAATGGTGATCTCTAACTGTTTAAGGACTTTTAGAGTAGAGAAACCCAGCAGACACAAGCTTGACCAAATAACCAAAGTTAATATCACCTATAATAGGATGTGTTGACATCATGTACTCCTTGAGATGATGCTGAGAAGGGCACAGCACCACTTCTGAGCTATTCTTACCAAAAATGCATAACCTCAGTTTAATCATGAGAGGACATTAGGCACATGCCAGTTGAGGGGCTACAAAATAACTGAGAAGTACTCATCAAAAGAGTCAAGGTCATGAAAGACAAGGACAGAATGAAACTGTCACAGCTTAGTGGACACTAAAGAGATTCAGCAACTAACTGCCAGGAGGGATCTGGAGCAGAAAAAGAGCAAGAGGGGACACGCAGATGAAATTTGAAAAGGGTCTGTAGTTAATAGTTTTATGCCTGTGTTAGTTACTCATGTTATTTTGGTAATTGTACTATGGTCAGGTAAGTTGGTAACATTAGGGGAGGCTGGGAGAAAGGTTTAGGTGAATGCTCTGTACTCTCTCTGAAACTTTTCTCAAGTCTACAATTATTTCAAAATAAAAAGTTAAACCATGTGCTTATTGAGTAAGCACTGCTTCCTGGTAAGCTCCAGAGAGATAGAAGCTGAGCGATACAAAGGTAGCTCTGAGAGGGGTAAATCCTGCTTTTAAGTACTGTAGCAGTGTTTTGCAAATTTTAATGTGGATCCAAATCACTAAGGATCTTGTTAATATACAGACTGATCTGACGTGTCTGTGGTGTCAGACTCTGATTGTCTAACTGAAAGCTGATGTCCATGCTCTTGTCTTGGAAACCACACTTTGAGTAACAAGGGCAGAAAGGACAGCAAATCATACACATACGTGGCCACAATAAAAGTCAGCCAGTGAATTGTGCAGGGAGAACTGAAAACACAAGTAGCAGGAACCAGGGGCTTCTTGCCTGGGTCCCTTAGCAGAGATGGATCTTCCAGGCTTTGTGAGCCTTCTAGTTTTAGCCTGGTTTCCAGGAGTCTTGGCTATTTCTCTCTAGTCTGTCTCTGGCTGGGCCCAGCCAGGCTCAGCTAAGTGAAGAGGGACAGGTGCAGAATTACAGATGCACTCAGAAATTCCACCAGTGCCTGTGAAAGCCAGGCCTGGGCCTGGGGAGCACACATGTTCCCCATCAGACCTCAGCTGGTCAGCAGGGGCCCAGCTTTCCCTGAGCTGTCCTTCTGATCAGCTCCCAGGAAGAGGTGCTTCTGTGACACATTGTTCCCCAGAGATCCTTCACTTCTCCCTAGGATCCAAGAATGTACACAGACACTCAGATGGTCTATCCAGAAAGACACTATTTCTACTGACCAAGATATGCATTCATGCAAATATGGTCACAAAATTACCAGACTATGGTGAATACCTACCTCACTAGTAATTTCAGCCACATTCTGCGCAGTGATACAACTTTATTCTGATTCTCAGTCCTACTGTGACACCTCTCCCCAGCCAATCCTCAGCACAGCAGGTTCTCACAGCACTCCCTCTTCCTAGCATTTCAGTCCATCCAAAGCCACTTCTATTTTAAGCCCAAGGAGGCAACATTGCAGGCCATCAAGATCCTAACAGGTAAGATCTCTATTTACTTCTGCCTATTGGATATATTTGTCACATGTACAAGGGACAGTTCAGGAAGATGCATAGGTTTATTAACAAGGAACAGCTAAGGGTCTGGTTGGAAGGTTTGTAATCTATAGCCATGCTACTAAGTTCTCAAAATGGGATCTGGGGCCAGGGATTTAGTTCAGTGGTTTCGCCGCCTGCTGCGCAAGCACAAGGACCGGAGTTCAATCCCCATTCCAAAAAACAAACCAAAATGGGATGGGGAGAAGGTTGGCTGAACCTCTAAGGCACATGTGCTACATGCTGGGTGTGTCTTTTTGGACCCTCCCACCCATGCTTCAGCCCCCAACATGTTTATGGCTTAAGTGCAGCTGAAGCTTCTGCCACAGACTTGTAGGTCCATGGGCCTCTTTGGGTCTATGCCCCCTGGGGTACCAGAGACCTTCCTCGAACCAACTCTGTGGTCAGTGTAGACTTGACAAGTCAACTCACAGGGCCTCTGCTTCATACTGATGCTGGAGACCCCGTGCATATCCCATAGGCTCCTGTTAGAATTTTGAGTACTTCCCTGGGTGGCAAAGTTAGCCACTAACACTGCTTCAGAAGGAGAAGCAAGCCCTCATGTTCCAGGGACAAGATATCTTCTGATGTCCCATTTTTGAGTCCCAAGAAACTTCAGGGATCCTCTTTCAGCCTAATACACATCTCTCTTTCTTTCTTCACTCCTCTTGTTCCTCATTCAGAGAGCAATAGGCCCCTTTCCCTCCAGAAAGCTTGTCCGAACTGCCCTGGCACACAATGCCAACTTCCTTCCTTGGCCTTCTGTATTTTTGTCAGCCTCATCACAGGAGACAGAACCGTGCAAAGAGTAGCAGTCCAAAGGGTGGTGGTGCAGGTCTTAGACTTAGCTGTTTGGGCTCAAATCCCAGCCCTGCCACTTGGGAGTTGTGAGTCCTTGTGAAAATTATTTAATATTTTCAGGACTCAGGTTCATCTTCTGTAAAAGGGAGATAATAAAAATAATTCCTATCTCACTGGATTATGAGGATTAATAAAAATAGTGCACATAAGCTATATGAACTAAAGCTGGCATGTAGTAGCAGCTCAATAATTTTTACTTGTTAGTAGCTATTGATGTCAGCTATTTAATTAATACTTAATTTTCTACTGTTTTATACCAAGGGAGTCGGGATGTCTTGTTGATGTGATTTCAAGAAGAGGCCTCTCAATGATACCTGCAGCAATGTGCCAAATACTGATTTTTATGTCCCAGGCACTGGTTAAGGGCTTCACTCACATCTTTGAGCATCAGTTACCATCGGCCCAACAGTTAACCAACCAAATATTATGGAAACTGAAACAAGTCATGAGGATAATTTGAGGTGAAGGACAAGTGTAAATGTACCAGTTTTAAAGTTCTTGTTTGTGTTTTATTTTGGCCTGCTTTTGTGGAACCAGAAGACAAACTGGGAGGTACAGATTTGCCAAAGTTTTTGCACTTGTCCAGGATGGAAAACATTCTGATATCTTCTGAGCAAAATCTAAAAATCCACCAGACAGAGCAGTTGAGCCATCCTGCAACTCTTCCATTTAGGGCCCGGATACCTCACTCAAATCCCTTAGGCAGACTCAAATGACACAGAAACAAAAGGACTGTTGCTGGTTGTCACCATCCTCGTTATGTAGATGGTAAGAGGAAAGGCAAGTTTGATTCCCGGCTCTGTTCCTGCATGACAAGTTGCTTAATCTCTCTGAGCATTAGTTCCCTTACTTGTGAAATAAGGATAAGAATCCTTATCTCACTGAGTACCCTTGAGAATTAAATAAAATAACATATATCAAGAGCATAGCATAGGGTCCAATACTTGCACAACCAATAGCCTTCATTTTCCTTATTTAGGAGATGAATATTGCTTTCTAATTTTCTCCTTTGCCAGATTTTTGGATCTTTTTTTTTCTTAAATATAGAACATTTTCTTTTTTTCTTTTTTCGGTTCTGGAGATCTAACTCAGGACCTTGCACTCGAAAGGCAGGCACAGAGCCACTGAGCTAAATCCCCAGCCCAGATTCTTGACTTTTTATGTTTTTATTTTATTCTATTTCCTTCTAAGATTCTTTTGAAAAAATTGACCAAGTCTTGACTGAACTTCAGAAAAATGAGCATGTCCATCCCTAGAACAGTGAATGAAGGCTGCCTTTTGAGTCCAGCCACCACAGTGGCAGTTGGAAATCTGGGAAAACTGAGGCAGATGGTGAAATGGAGAAGTGGGTTAGTTGGGATGGTAGGGGGCAGTTCTGACTCTATTCTTTTTTTCACATGGGAGTATTAACTTATGGTCTTGCCTCCCCAGAGGATTATAAGTCCTAGGTCTCCATCTGTAAAATAGAAATCATCAGTCTGTCAACTTCATAAAGTCATTAAGGGGATTAAATGAGATAATGCACTTAGCACTGGAGCCTGGAAAGTAGTGTGTGTTGAACAAATGTCAGCTCTTTTATGGTGTCCATGATGCTGCAAATGGCTGGGCACTCACTGAGCATGCCTGATTCCTGGGTTCCACCCCCAGAATTGTTCTCTGCTCTCATTCCCTGTAGTCCCCCTGAGTTCAGCCCTGCTGTGTTGATTCAATCAAAAAATGCTGTGGAAAGCAGCTGATGCTTCTTGTGTGGAGACTCTGGATTGTTTCTGACCCTTAGCAGCAATGTAAAGGGGGCCAGGCTGCAGCCACGATTAATGAGGAAAACAGCAGCTAAGTGGCTGCCAGAGG